GGGGAGTTCGTTCCAAAGGGTCGGGGCTACTACTGAGAAGGCCCTCCTCCTTGTAGTTGCCAGCCGACACTGGCTGGCCGATGGGATACGGAGGAGGCCCAATTATTGTTAGCACTGTGTAAAAAATGTATTGACCCAGTCATTACACTGTCCACAAAATATATTGGATGTTAAAGGAAAATTGTAAATAAAACATATACAAAAATAATTACACGCCAGTTGCCAAGCATCCAAATTCTGATCATGTGAGCACGGAGATGCTGCAATGGCTATGTGAAAAAGCCATACTGTATTTTTCAGAATATAATATGCACTGGAGTATACAATAGGTAGTTAGGGAGAGACAGAGTGTGTGTATAGGTAGGTAGGGAGATAGAGAGAGAGAAATACAGTAGGTAGGTAGGGGGGAGAGAGAGAGAGTAGGTAGGTTGGTAGGTAGAGGGGGAGAGAGAGAGAGAGAGAGAGAGAGAGAGAGACAGAGACAGAGACAGAGACAGAGAGACAGACATAAAGAGAGAGAGAGGGGGAGGGAGGGTAGGGAGGGAGAAATACAATACATAGGTAGGTGTTTCTGCTGGCACAGCACTTGATCAGTGTAATTCTCATCAATCATTTAAAGAGCTTTCCAAAAGAAAAAAAAGTTTTTGCACTCTGCAAACCTCCCCAAAATGGCCCGTTTTTCGTGAAAATGAGCCCAGTTTTTTTCTTTTAAAAAGGTGTGAATAGCCTTGTGGGGGGGCTTTCAGAGTGCTCCTGGGAGGGTAGGGACAAAAGCAAGCAAAAAATGGTCCTGTTTTTTGTCAAAATATTTGCATGCATAGCCTTATGGAGACTTATCGAGGGCTGCTGGGGGCTGGACTATTTCTGCCCTCCCCAGCCCTCAGGAGCTCTTGAAAGCCTCCATAAGGGTATGCATGGCCATTTTAGTGAAGGAGACAGGGCTTCGGGAGGCAAAAGTGCTGTATTCAATATATAAGACGCACCCAGTTTTTCAGCCTCTTTTTTGAAGAAAAAAGGTCTGTCTTATTCTCCAAAAAATACGGTAAGTCATTTTTTTCAGTGCCATTGTAATTTTGAACAATCATTAAACAAATGGTAGTAAAATGAGGACTACCAAAAAAACCTAGTTCCACATAGTTCTATTGCATTGTGAGATATATAATGATTACCCATATATTTTGGAGCATAAGACGCACCGGAGTATAAGACGTGCCAAGGTTTTGAAGATGCTTTAAAAAAAAAAAGGAGGTAGATAGATAGAGGGAGAGAAAGGGAGAGAAAGAGCAGAAATACAATATGTAGGCAGGGAGAGAGAACAGTTAGGTAGGTAGATAAAGGGAGAGAGAGAGAGAAATAGAGAGAGAGAAATAGAGAGATATAGTAGGTAGGTAGGGAGAGAGAGAGTGAGTAGGTAGGTAGATAGATAGGAAGGGAGGAGGGAGGGAGGGAGGGACAGAAGGACAGAGGGAGAGAGAGAGAGAAGTACAGTAGGTAGAGAGGCAGGGAGAGAGAGAGAGTAGGTGGGTAGGTAGATGTTTCCAGGTGTATTTATCCATGTGCTGGAGAAGGAAATCACTGACAATCTGCACTTGTTTATCAATTTAATTTTCATCAATCACTCTAACTAAAGAGCTTTCCAAAAGGGGGGGGGAGTTTTTGCACTCTGCAAACCTCCAAAAAATGGCCCGTTTTTTCCCAAAAATGGGCCCGTTTTTTGTTTTTCTTTAAAGGCCTGAATATCCTTGNTTTCTACTTGCATTTTTACATGCTTTCAAACTGCTAGGTTGGCAGAAGCTGGGACAAGGTAATGGGAGCTCACTCCGTTATGCAATACTAGGGATTCGAATCGCTGAGCTGCCGACCTTTCTGATCCACAAGCTCAGCATCTTAGCCTCTGAGGCACCGCATCCCCTGAAGTCTGGGATAACTATAATTCATAGTGTTTTCTAGATGAGAATAAGTCTCCATTTCTGGAAGCATCAATGAACATCTTTGTCATCTGTGGATGTTAAAGCAAATGGATACATGGAACAAACCCGCTTTACAACATGGTAGCTTTTTAAAATTAAGCTGAAATTTAAAACAAGTAAAATAGGATGAAGGAAATAATGAGCAGCAGGGAAGGTGTCTGCAGAAATAGAACCTCTGGGGAACCAGGGACTCATTTTCATTTTTTTTCCTTCTCCAGGAACAACAAACCATATTTTCTTGTCACCAGTAAAAATAAAAGACTGACATTTGGTGTGAAATTGAAAAACATGAATGAAAATTCATACAACACCAGAATTCAAGTGGCTTTTTCTGAAAACTTATTTTTTGCTTCATCTTTTTCAGTGGTATGTATAATCTCTATTCTTACTGCTGTGCTCGGTGCAAATAACACCAATTATTTTGTTAAAGAATAGTACCTTCTTTTAGACTTGTGCTGGCATACTGTGTATAAATAGGGAACAAATTCCACATTCAGTAGCAGTGATGATGTTGCCTAGTTGAGAAATGAAATGTTTACAAGCAAATAACCAATCTCAGGGAGCACCAAGGATTTCATAATTGTATTTTTCTTCTTATAAGTTAGTGAATTAGAAAAATGTTCATTTGAGCTATTCCTGGATGTTAGTCTGAATTTAAAATATGCTTATCCTTTTTTGCGTTGGCAATAAAGTTTGCATGCCCCAATCAAGATCATCATTCTTACTCTACACTTTCTAAAAGAGGAAGACTACTTAGTATGTCTATAGAGGGGGAAAAATGCAATCCTTTCAAATTTAAGCCTTGGTATGTTTATTCTGAAATAAGCACTATTGAATTAGCTATACTTGTCCATAGCATTGACAGTTGTGATTCAGTACCAAGATAAAGTCAAAACTAAATCTGCTAACCCTACATTCAGGAAATAAGACAATAAACTGACTCATGTAGTTTCGGGAGATGAGCATGCTTGATATATGACTATATTAACTTCCTATTTTGTATTTGGAACATTGTTATTGAATCCCTCAAAATATATGAAAGTTTCATTGCACAGTGATCATGAATTTCATTCTAATAAAATATCTGCTTTTTATTGTTAGGTGGATGAAACTGAAGTTTCATGTCAGATGGCAGTTGTCCGTCATCTTGTTGTCTGCCAAATCAGCTATCCTGTTTTTAAAGCAAGGCAAGAGGTATCTAAATAAGACATGCTACAGGTTCAACATCAGATCAAAATATTTTAAATATGCAAAATAAAAGCAAAAAAGCAAAAGCATTATGTTCAGCAATGCAAAATATGTAGGATAAAAAAAATTGAATTCTCAAGAACTCTTCATCAAACAAGGAAAGGAAAGTGGGGAATTGTGGGGTAAATTGTTTGTCATCCATATTCTTACCATGTTATAGTTTTAATTGGTCCATTAAAGTAGCATTTGGAGATGTGGATTAGATGCATTAGTCTTCTGGAAGACAAGCATTCATTCGCAAAGACGTGGCCTTTCAGAAGATTGATATTCCCATGTGAAAAGCATCAACAACAGGAAGGCCTAGGCAGGTGTCTCGCCTCTCACATCTCAAGTAAAACTGGTCATAGTAGGCCATGCCCCACAATAGGGCTGTGAGGGGAAGGATCTTACTCGTGACTACGTCGTCATCAGCTTTATCATACATTGGTCATGTAGCTAGATTTCTGCGAAGGCAAGGAAGGCATCACTTCAGCAGCAAAATGATTTTAGGCTGCCTTTTCAGTGGGTTAAGGAGAGAGGCAGCATAATAGAGATATATCTCTTTAAAATGGTTTTCAGGGGTACTTTTATGCTGCTGTAAGCAGAACATGAAGATAAATCCTTAGCAATCAGAGATTCATCTAGGCATAATGTTAATAGAATAGAGGTGTATTATATTTGCAGTTCAGTTCTGAATTGGTGCTTTTGGTATCCAGAGTAGCTGTGTAATCCTGGGAAAACATGCAGTTGCTTTAATTAGTTCCAAACATGTCATATTCATGTCCCTAGCAGTGAAGAGACTGAGCTTGTCGACCAGTAAGTCAACAGTTGAAGGCCAAGTACCACATGATCAGTTGAGCTCCCATTCTTGCCCCAATTCATGCCAAACTAGCAGTTTGAAAGCGAGCTCGAAATGCGAGTAGATAAACAGGTGCTACTTCAGTGGGAAGGTACAGTAACAACATTCCTTGTGTCTTGGGTACAGTAATGCTGGGCATATGACTATGGAAGTGCCTTCAGACAATACTGGCTCCCTTGGCTAGGAAACAAAGATTAGGTTGTCCAGTTTAGAGTTGGACATGACTGGCGAGGAAAGCTTTGCCTTTTTTATGCTTATCAAATATTTGTTTAAAATAAAATTGGGAGTGCTAAACAGTAACACCCTTTTATGGAATATCTGATCTTATACTTTAAAGCAAATTGGATTACTAGTGATAATTGGCTTTCCCAATTTTAATGTTATTTTTCATCTTTGTTTTCTTCACAGGTATCCTTTGATCTTAATTTTGACTTCAGTTTGAAAACTCTTCAGAATGTGGCAGTATTATATTTTCAAGCCTTGAGGTACACTGTAAATTTCCTGCTACACTTCAAAACAATACTTGCAGCCAAATTCGTACTTCCTTAGTCTGAAATGCTATGTTCTTCAAGATATCCGTTTTCACAAACAAGTCATTAATCAAATAATAATAACTTCATAATAATGTTAATATAATCCTGAAGTTTTCAAAAAAGGTAAATTAGTTGCTAGGCCATCTTTAAAAGCTCATGAAAGTGTTCAGGCCAGAAGTTTTGCTTATTCCAAAAAGAATGTGCTTTATGATAACTTGCTATCTGAAGATACACAGTAGAACATATCCACCAGAGCTGGAGGAAAACAAAGCTGCTTATTGTCAATTCCTTAGATTGGAAGTGTTTAAGGTGAATAGTATAAAAACCATGCAGATACATTGTACCCACTCTATCTCACATGTACAGATAAAAATTTTATTTGTGACTTCCTTCCTGGTGACTGAACTGTTCTTAGTCAAATTTCCTTTTAGCTTCCTGACATTATTTATGAATTTAGAGATCAGAACTTTGTAAATGTTTTCAAATATATTTTATTTCTTTACTGAACAGTGCAAGTCATGAAGAAGATTATACAAACAATCAGGTGAACCTAACACTTCCACTTCGTTATGATGCAGAACTTCACTTAATGAGGTAATTCTAAATTGGCCTTGTGCTAATTCTATTGGCATTAATAGGTAAAGGTAAAAATTCCCCTCGCACACATGTGCTAGTTGTTCCTGACTCTAGGGGGCGGTGCTCATCTCCGTTTCAAAGCCAAAGATCCAGCGCTGTCTGA